TTTAATTTCTTCCTCTTTTTATTGCTTGTGCTTCTGGCTGCTCAACTAAGCACACAACCTATTCCGGTGCGTTTCTGAAAACTGTACAACCTTTCGCTGTAAAGGTTACAAAAGGCCTAATCAGAGATGTCGTGTTTGCTGGGAACATGCAGCAAAAAGAATATACATTATTCATATGTCGATTGACTGAACTGTTGAGATCCAACTGACGATCACTGAATGTTTATCATCAGGAGCAACGAAAAAATAAGAAACGTAAACTTGTTGAAATACTTAATGCTGAGAATTCGATTTTGTACCAAATGATATAATATTGAATAAAGCTAATAATAATAATAATAATAATAATAATAATAATAGAAAATTCTATTATGATGTGTATTACTTATATTGATATGAGTAATATAATTGATGTTGGTCAGAAATAAAATGTCTGGCAGCAGAAAGTCAAGATGTTTGAGAAGGAATGAAGTGGAACAGAAAGCAATTGATATGGAAATCGCATGAACGTTAAAACCTCAGACGATTGATCGATATTTGCAAATGGAGTGTTTACTGTACGATTCTTAGAATTTATGAAGACGTTCTATGCTCTACATGTTCAAATATATTCAATTTTCAACACTTGTGATCTCGTTCACAATAATATTATTATAATTGTACTACACTATGTACTTACGAAATTCAGTGAGACTATAATTTACGAACGTTCTTTGAGTACCGCTAGAGTAACATTGAAAGTATCCATATGAGGGTCATAGACGAGTGTGAGGGATTGGAATTATGATATACAGATGATGGTTTGGCATATGGATTAGATTAAGGGTTTCCATCACGAACTGATATCAGTTGAAATGCTAAGACGCAATTTGGCCAAATAGATGAGTGGACTTCAAGCCGAAATCCAAAACCTGTTCACATAAACGTGATTGGTTTGTTCATAAATTGTAGTCTAGCGCCAAACCTTCATCAAATGAATTTCCTGATTCCATTTGAAAGAAAATCGTGAATACGTCATACAAAGTGGTTATTCCCAATTGAGCATTGGCCGCCGACAAGCATTCTCAAGGCCACATTCTACAGTCACTTCCTCGTACACTTCTACAACATCTGCTACTTCTAACTTTCTTTATGCTACTACTACTCCTAATAATCTTAATAATAATTATTACCTAACGGAATATAAGTATGTAAGCTTGTTAAACTAAACAAAATATCTCAAAAGTTTTATTTGTCTGACATTGTTTCACTTAAATGTATTTAAACAACTTAAATCTAATTTATTAACTTTAAGACTTTTTCTTAGTAGTGTACGAGGAAGTGGCCGTTGAGTCTGCTTCCGGAAAACTACAACAGAGCCTTCAGAGGTCTTTAAAAAGCCCCCATTCGATCAGAGTACGATGTAACATTCCACAGATCCAACGTGGCGTGATACTATTGGTCTTTATCATAATATATCGTTAATGGAATGGCTGAAATAGGATGTTGATTTAACATACTCTAACATCTATAAACACCTATGATTTTCTGTAACAAGGTCTAACCTTGCAGTAAAGTATCCGTCATACTCGAGTATTCTCTCTGGCGTTCAAGCCGGTGAATAGTTCTAGTCTGGGGTTACTAAACTAGCTTAGGATCTGAATATAGCGTTTAATTTACAAGACGTATTAGTGACTGTGGTATATTTAAGTGGTAGTAGAAGTGTAAGAAGTTGAAATAGTAAAATTTGATGTCTTATTTGTTGTTCTAGTGGTAGTAGTAGTGTTAATAGTGATTGTTAGTGTAATAGTAGAAGCGGTCGTACTGCAACTCATTTATAGTTCAAATCTATGAGTGAAGGTCGTAGTGTGATAAACGATAACAAAATTGCGAACTATCAAATGTATTTGAGCAAAAGATTACAGAACGTCTTAGTAAAATCTCAGATCCACACATTAAACTGTTCATTTGCAAAATATCCATGAAGTGTCTCAAATTTTATTGTTACATTTTTTCCACATAGATCATTCTCTGTCCTAATTCTTTTCTCTTCGTTGTTCTCAACCCTCCACTTCCAGGCACTTCACTTTCGTTTCGTGATACTGAAAACGTATATCTGACGACATCACTAACACGCACAACACATTACTATAGATCTGAAATACTGTTTCAAATAATTTAAAATTTTCACACCGTCCGAATGCAATACATATTCTTTCTCAATGAACAATAAGTATTGTGATGAGAAGAGTAATTTAATATCGACTCTCTGATAATGTTAAACTACACTTTAATGTTTTTAGAAAGAACAAACATGGTTGTAAATATATACTTATGAGCATTTACTTATACAACTTCAAAATTCCACGAGTATTTTAATTATGAACTGTGATTGTCACAGCTACAAAATGATACCTGAGGAAACCAAATAACTTGTAGGTTTTGAATAGTATATTCTTTCTTTCATCATTTAACTATTCATTACTTATTGATAATGAAGTTATTCAATATTATGGTTTTGATGAGATATAGGACTGTCAGAGCAAGGTATTTCAACAAGATTCCATTTATCACTACATGGTGTATACTGAAGATAAATATTGTATGAACACCATTTACAAGTAAACAAAACAGTCAATCGACGACTGAGTGATGTACATTTTTTCATGCATATTGCCTGTCGGCAACTACGATATCTTTGAATACAACGGAAGGTTGTACACTCTTCTGAAACCTACTTGGATAGGTTATGGATTTTTAAACATAATAATGTACAAAAACAACCAAAAAGCAAATACTTTTGTTGAAATATCTAGATAATAGGAATAGATACTTCCCATATTCAAGCAGACCTCAAATTCAACGTTTACGTAACTTAGATATTACGATCGTGATCATATTATCAATATATACACATCTAGCTGAATCTGATTATTATTAGTGAATTATAATTGTCATTTTGAAAGTAGACAAAATCTCGTATGCTAATAATTAGATGTACGTATGATTTTTCAAAGTGTGTGGGTTCATGGTGTCACCATTGTCTGTCTCTTTTCAAAAAGATTATTGAAATGTGAAATAACATTATCATTGTTTTTATTAACTTTTCATAGAACATAATTTTTATGATCATAGCTCATCACAGCTAAACACTGTAGGATGTCAGCTAAGTGATTTAGATGTTATGAATTTGCGTGAGATCGAGTATCTTAGATTGAAGTACTGCATATGGAATCGCTGTTATTGAGTAGACCTACACTTGGATGAAGCGCTCATCCAACGGTCGTCTAACACTGAAAGCTTGATCATCTCAGTAACATACCCACTAGATGTCAGGCTGCATAATTCAATAATCTACACTACTCATGAAACTTTAATTTTTGTAAGTTGACCGAAACATGTGATGTCAAGTAAAGACAATTTCAGGTTGACACTATTTCGTTCATCCAGTATTTATTAGGTCAAATTCATATGAACGAATATTGTGTAATCAATAGTACAGTGTATTAGCTCTGGTGAACCACCTCGCGTCTGAATAGATGAGGTTCGTAGGTTGGTCAGTTGCTCCTCACATTACAAAACTATAACGTTCCTGGAACTGTTAATAAATCTATATTTTTTGCTATTGGACACACGTTTGTTATGTAAATTGGCTGATTCTACTTAGATATTGCTTTATCATGCTGACTGATGCTTTGTTTTTAAAATTCCCTGACTAGCAGATCTGGAGAATCTTGCATAGACAATGATGTATACAAATTCGCTATTTTTAGATGGCGATTGTAGTAGTTCAACATGCTTCAGCCGTGTACATTGTAACTATTTATACAATTGTATTGACATTGATATTAGTTGACAGTTATTAGGTCCAAAATGTCCTTCATTTGTAGACGTGCCTTCCTTGCTTTTCCAATCTTTGTCATCACATCTGAATCGCATCCTACTTGTTTATCACTGACGCTGTTCAGATATGTGGAAGTTTCACTCGTACAAAGGCCTCTCCATCAAGATTGATCAAATTGATGCTCTATGAGCTTAATTTTAGAATCTGTCGTTTTCACTCATATGTGTTGCGCTCAACAACTGCAAAGGCGTTCGCTACACTGTTCATCGTCAACAGAATGTATCATAATGTATTAGATGGAAGAGTGAAACCTGAAAAGTCTCTATCAGTATGCGGTTGTAAAGATTATTATGTTTTTGATTGAGATAATAAACGATGTTTTCACTAGAGAACAGCTTTTCGTGAATGAATTCTCGGAGTTCTGATAAGTAGTTCTGACCAGTTAAGCTAATCCATGTCATGTAGAGATAGTTATCTTCCTGAATAAAATGAAAAATGATTGTGCGGTTATTTAGATTGGTTGAGATAGGAGAGTAACACTGTTGGGTACTGAACGACTCAGTGATCTGGTGGTTGAGAATTGGCGTGCAAGGACAGAAAACATAAACTGGAATCCTGCGATTGGGATGATGTTTGCGCAATGCTTAGGTGTCTCGTACTAGTACGAAACGGTCGACCCGTATCTCCAGGTTTTTGACGGTGTTCTAACATCATTTGGTTCCACATCTCAATCTAAAACAGACCAAATTATCTATCTTCATCAAAGCTATCCAACCCTGTAGGTCATCTACAGGAAATCGTGACATTATTTCAACATAATTCGCTAAAAGTATCCTTTTTCAGAAAATAAGTAATTTAAAACCACTACTATAAATCGCAACACTGAAACTTAATAATTTTCAATTCACAAACATTTATTACGTCACAACCACCACAAAACCCACTTCCGGTATTCTTATTTCGTTTTAAGTCTACCCGTTTGATTATTCTTTTCAATCGAGGGTTCTTGTATGCGATGAAAGTGTTTGTTTTCACTTGTTAATTATGCGAAAATATTTCGCATATTTTGTTTTTTGTGTCTTTTATTATAAATCACCTTGAATAAACTAATTATCGTCAACTTACAAAAGTATAAATATGAAGAAGCAAAGAGTCCCGTTTCAAGGAAGAAAGAGAAATGAATCTCTCATGTTTGCTTCTTGTCAACTTACTTCATCTACTTCTTCCTGTATCTATATGTCATGGTAAGCTATCAGATATTTGTATGTATGAATGAGCCAAGCTATTTATCATATATAATTAATGTATCATTTGTTTATGTAATACATTTGTTTCCGGTTTCTAGGTATAGATCTGACAAAACTCTCACTGTCAAGACGACTATATGAAATCAAAAGTTAGCAGCTATTTATAACCTTGGCTATTAAAAAGTTCACCTTATTCTATACTTTATTATATTAGTACCTCCAGCTGTTCAGTTACAATAGAGACAAAGCTTTTAAATAGAATAAAGCTTAGATTAATGATTTCGGGATAACCATATTCAAACTCCTTCTTACAATCATAGTCCTTGCAATGGAGTATCGTTTACATTTGCGTTAACATTGTGCATGAATAATGCAATTCAATCAGTAGCATTGAGTATTAAACAAGCATGATAATGGGTCATTACTAAATGGTCGTTGGATGTATTCATATGACTTGAATGGTGATGTATTTTTATTCGTTATAATAGAATGATGAAGGATTGCACAATTTTCCTGATCTAACCACTGACTGATGATAGTTAAACCGATATAGAGAACAAGGAAGCACTCCATCCATTCTGTAATCAAACTTTCCAACAACGCAAATCTACGATACAATCACAGTTGAGTGAACATAAGAACTTCGATTATCCCCGCTGACGCTTAACATATAGACTAGTGATACTATTTTCATCAACGCACAACACTAAGCGATCTTTACTAATGTCACATGAATGTCTTACGTTCATAATGTTTGAACTCCACTGATAAACTAATTCACAGAACCATTTCATAATTTACATTACGAAAATTATCCAGTTACTAAAGGTTTACTATACATCATATTCTATAATATTCCAATATCTAAGTTTTTTATGGTGAAACTATATGTAATGATTATTAGTTCAAACAGAAAGGTTCATAGGTTTTCTATTTCACTATCCAAACTTAATCATTAACAATTATATGCTGATCGGCGGCCTCTGCTCCATTGTGAGTAACAGGCGTTAGTAAATATCTAAGTTAGTAAGTAACAAACAGATACTTTGATGATTACTATACAGATTCATTGATGAATTTTGATGAACAAATATTCTATCAAAAAAGTCAATTTGTAAGGGTGTTAAGTAAGTTATCTACGTAAATATGATTGCTATATCTAGTAAAGTTTAATGTTCATTTCATGAATTTCATAGTCAAACATAACAGACTTTCAATAGAATCCTCTGATTATTGATTCTTCTGTTGTGCAGGAAGATCAAATATTCGTATTGTAATGTCATATTTGTTTCATAGATTGTTATGGTTCATATCCTTACCAGTTGGTAGCTATTTAATTACGCTTTATGTCTAAAGTGACCTAACATGTGCTTCAAATGCAATACATGTAGTTATAATAAATTGATCAACTTCGTGTATTATTACATCAATCCTCTGTATGTTAACAGGGAACTTTGATATCCTTATCTTGTTATGTTACCGGACAATGTGAATATTCAACACTAGGTGGATGTTCACTGATCCGGAGTCCGACAATAGGACAAAGTATCTGTCCAGTGCTTCCAGATTTTCCGTGATAGCCTAGCTTCAATTGACAAATGATATCAACTAGTGAAATAGTTTTCAGTTTATAATATTCGTACCCCTATTTAAGTAAACATAAACTGAGTGGTTCCATCTAAACTGATTACGAAAGCTTAAATGAAACTACAAATTATTGTTATCCGTCTGTCTTGACCAAAAATTATCACCAATGACAGTTACTGGTTATCAGACGAAACCAGAACACTCGTTTTGATCTACTCACGACTCTTCAGTTTAATGTACTTGCATTCCAGAGATGACGTTTAACAAGGAAATCAAATTTCATCGAGATATGCAAACGGCCACTATGTTCAAATACCAACTGAGTTGTGCGATGGGGTGAAAATTTATTCACCTGTACCAGGTGCATGAATCTTTAAATGGAATATTCCAAAAACTAGTCAAAGTGAATTAAACTTCACCACATTGCATAAGTCAGTGGTCAACAAAAATCAGTAGCTTTGTGGATAACAAGGTGGCGTTTCAAGTGAACGTTACTAAATTGGTGTCTTATACTGTACAGTAACGCAGAAGAAAGTTCATTCAGCTAACAAATCTCAAATTGAAAGAAACGCGCATTCTCATCAACACTGCTAACTACTATTTATCTTTGCCTTTAATTATTGCGATTCAAAACCAAATCTGGTCAAGCCGTACAAGATACTCATATACCAATAAAAGACTGATAGATTATAGTCATAAACGGTAATGAGTAAATTCAAACATCTAAAGCGGATGAACTAATTGATAACTGTTTCGTTGAAATGACTGAGACACAAGAGAGTATTTCATAGTATGGTTGGGGCGATCGAAATTAACAATCCGAAGTTATAATCGTATAGTTTATTCTAATTATATGAAAATCAGCCATATCAATATCAACTTCGATGAAACGAATATGGTAACGACAGAGTGTTCAGGAATGTGCTTACTTTTTATCAAGAAGGTACCGTGGATGGAAGAGAATTTTAAAGAAGGACAAGATAGAAGTAACATTAAGATATCATTTGACGTGAGTGAAATTAGTGATAAGAACATACTTACCTTTTCCTCCACACCTCAAGACTTCAAAACAAACAAACAAAGTTGTTCATAATGAACAAATAAACTGGAACTGAGTCGATCAATACAGTTATTTGTCAGTTGTTGAAGAATGATCCTTCCAAGTTGTGTTGGATATAACAAACTTATTTCAGCGATCTCCATGTAACAGTGAAAATATGAAAGTCACCCACTGTCATTTATTAGTTGTCTGGAAAAATTCGAGATGAATGAATCAGTGAGTAAACTGGGAATAAAAATTTACTTTTGGCATTGATTCCATTCGGTATAAGATCATTTGTCTTATTGTCTACTATATATGGTAACAATTCGGTCAAAGTCACAAATTCCCGGAATTTATCAAACAATTTTCCTTAAAACTGTCTAATGTTCCCAGATCGATATAATATTTTTTGTATTATTATTAGCTTTATTCGATATTATATTTTTGGTACAATATAGAATTCTCAGCACAAAGCACTTCAACAAGTTTCCGTTTCTTACTTCTTCGTCCTTCCTGACGATAAATATTGAGTGATCGCCAGTTAGAAGTTAGCAGCCCAGTCAATCGACATCTGGATAATGTACATTTTTTCGATGCATATTACCAGCAACCACGATATCTCTGATTAGGCCTTCTGTAACCTTTACAGCGAAAGGTCCTACACTTTTCAGAAACGCACTTGAATAGGTTGTGCGGTTAATAATCATAATGATGTATTAAAGCAAACGAAATTAGATAACTTGTTGAAATATCAAGATGACAGGAACAGGTAGTCCAGATGTTCAAACAGGCCGCCGGTGGTATTGCAGATATTCAATATGCGTTCTCTGAAGTTTTAACAATCAAATGAATGCACAGTTGTAGTAAACGAGAAAACAAGCATGGATTAAGGGATGTAAAAGAACACAAAATTATATAATCACTTGGTAAAAACTGAGAAAAACATACCCTGAATAATTCATTTACAAAGTATTAGTCAATCGCCTTAGGCTTCATGAGTCCTCCACTACCACATAAATCATTCTCTGTTCCTATACTCTACTCTTCAAATTATTAACCTTCCCATATCAGGCAGTTCAAATTAGATTGATGCTACATACCACTTATATCGGTGAACGTCATTATTACACACCACACAGTAAACAGAATAAATTACATGAATTGCTATTCCTGTTGAACAGAACAATCTGTTTTTACAAACTCATACTATATTGTTCAAATCTCATAGTGGTAAATGTTCACAAGAATTGGTCTGATGTTTCAGTGATTAACATATCTTCACCACAGTGTATGAATATCACTAAAATACTTTTTCTTTATTTCAATAAAGCGGATATACCATCTTTTATTGGAAGGAAAAAACTTGAAATGTGTAAGTTACATTAAAACGCAAACAATCCAATTGTCTAACATTATTGTTTTGATTTAGATTTCGATTGTGTAATTAAAGGTTATAAATTACAGCTTATCTCTAATCTAAATACAGGTTTGTTAGAAAATTGTTCATTATATAAAACAAGTTTAACTGTAATATATATATATATATATTTAATAAAAGATTCGACAGTTTTATGGTGAACATTTGCATCTGTTAAAAACTAGAGACGTCAGCTACTCTATATAATCGAAGTTATGTGATTCAAGATCAGTAAACCAAACTTATGTATTCAGACAAAGTGTTCAGGCTCTATATTTATTTTTAGCCTATGACTGAGTCACCGGGTAGCTAAACTAAATTATTATATGTCTCATTCTCACTATTTTTGACTACATCTATATTGATCTATAGATCTAACATTTCCAATTCATTTGAATTCTTCATTTGATTAATCGTAAGACCATTGACAAGACCCCTCCTATTACACAGTACGTCCACACAAGAACATTATCATCAGATTTATTACCATAACCAAAACCATTACCAATAATGTTACTAGTATCGTTAATATCTCGATTGACAAGATGGAATTTCTCAACTATGCATTTTATTCACATGATTATTTGCATTTTCAGTTTTGCAATATTATTGTTTTATTGATTGCGACCGAACATTTCATTTTAAATCATTCTGACCTTTGTTAAAAGTCAGTGCTAATTTGTTAATAATACATCCTTCAAAATAAATGTTGTAAGAGAAACAAACGTATAACTTATTGGTCGATCACTAGTTCGAAAGGAAACTCGAGACCTAGGATTCGTGTTACATTGATTCGATCAGCAAAATTTAGCTGTATTATTCTTATTCTTGATGTTTCCTGACGGATTCGATCCTGTGACACCCAGCTTCAAAGTCAGAGACTTTAACATCGACAGACCCCGGCTTTGACTTATCTCTTGTAAGACTGAGATGTATTTACAATTGAATGGTCACTGGGTGGGGATCAATTTCATGTATATTAGTTCTTTCTTAGTACAGATCAAATTTATTCGACTAAACATTGACCATGATGTTTGTTCAAACGTCCTACACATTTGAATATTCTATGTGGATTTTTGAACTAATGTATATTATCGTCTTTGGAAAAAGGAAGAATTTTCCAACATTCACATGAATGTAGTTCATTATGTAACACTTACTTGTTACTTCTCTGTACATCACAGAATTTGTGAAGATAATGGAAAAAGTAGAAGGTGAATATGGTAAGTGATTGTAAAAAATGACCATTTTATATGATTTTTATTAGCAAACCATTCAATGAATAGTTCGAAATCATCCGAGATAAAGAAGTGTTTTGAGAACAATGCAGAGAATGCAAAACGTAAGATTAAAGATTTTAAAATATTCTATCAAATTATTTATATGTCTTAGTTGAGACCAAGTATCTGAGTTGGGTAAGAGTGGTCATTTGTCAACAATATAGGTCTCTAAATATTCTAGAGCTGAAGCTAATTGCAGGAAGTCAAAACATTGTGTTCAACAACATGAGATATTATTATCAGACTAACAAATTAGTACTGGGTTTCTGAACTGTGATACTAAGTGACAAGAGTTTTGTTCTCCAACTGAACAGCAATTTCCTCAGGATAAAGAAAGAGTATTATTGCTAAAGATAAAAAAAACAGTACTTATTCTAGTGACAGGACAGCAAAACATCATTACTGAATCCAATGTTTCAATCCTGCGTCAAATATTCACTTCAATGACGGTATGATCAATCCATCTGAATCAAGTTGTAAATACATTTCGAACGGACAATGCAGTTAGACAGATCGATGGATAATCGTTTCGAGGCAAAGAAAATACTAATCCCAATGTTCTGTTGATTATGAAAACTAATTATGTGTATTATTATGAGATTCTGGAATATTTGATTTGTTGTTATATTTGCACAGGAGGGCTGAAAGAAAACCATCCGGAAAATTGTCCAATACCTGATACAATATATAAAGAAGGTACCATTATGCATTCGTATTTTTCATCAATAGTAGTAAACACTTTGTAAATATCAAATTCAATGTTTGCACGTTTCATGTCACATTCATTTAATTTTTAGATATATAAGCACCTAACCATTCACCTTTTCAGTAAATGAATACACGTCTGCTCACACAACATCACTGAAGTTAAAAGGTTCTAAATGAAGAGCCATTTATTTGAAATCATGAATGAAAGATTTTGTAGAGAACGATGAAGTTATTTTTTGTGATGGACACTGTTTCATTTTCTTTGACTTTGATTGCAGTTAGACATTACCACGGTTGTACACCGAATGGCTCGGTGGTCCACCGGTTAAACGATCATGAGAGCGATCAATGTGTCCTGGGTTCGAATTTTGCATGGTGGGATTGTGATTGCTACCTGCTGAGTCGTGCCGTACTGAAATGAAACGTCCATCAAGTGATACCAGGCTTCAATTGACTGATGATCTCAACTACTAACTGAAATTGAATATTATTCATCCCTATATTAACAAATTTTCATATGAATGGTGTAATCATATGTCAAATGTCAAATTCGCTGTTATTGATTATTATGAGAGTGTATTAGCTATAGGAGGATAGAACTGATACCTGTTTACATTCTTTTTCAGAGTTTATTGTACAAACTCAGCAACTAGAAATTATGTTTTACAAAAACAATAAGTTGAATGTTAATTTATGTAAGTAAATATGTAATCATGATCAGCACAATGATGCAAAATGTATTCAATGTGCACTTTTAAATCAATAATTTGACCTGAATGTTTCAAATCTGAAGGCATAAAGTTTTGGTTTTGAAGTAATCTGTATCCGTTTATGACAGCTTGTCAATGTAATTGGAACAACTACTGTAAACGTGACAGAATTAAACAGCTGATTGTTACTAATGTGGAAATATGAGTTGTCACGCAAAATCACATAACCTGGAATCGACATCATCTATTAAAAGGGCCTACTGTGTCTAATGTGTACATAACTAAGACAGGATACAATGACATATAAGTCTAGCTTTAATAAATTAACAGTACTGTTGGATCACATGATGTTATCTATGATGGGTGTCTTTCCCACAATAAACTTAACATTATGTTTTACTTACTACTATGGTGTATTTTCACAGACGTTAGAGGACTGTCAATGCAGTACTACTTTTCATTTGAATTTTATACAATATACTGTGTTGCATATTAAATTTTCAGTTGAACGTCAGTTGCTGTTCGATATTTTCAACAAAATAAACAGTTAGATTGATACACGTAAGTAGAAACTTTGACAGATCTAAGTACATTTGTAGAAACCAACTTACAACAAGTTAACTCGATTTTATAAATATGTTCAATTGTAACCCGGATGTAGGATACTGAGCCGGCGACTAAGACGTAAAGTATGTTTTGTTGCAAATAGTTCACCATCTTTATTGTTATCACCAGTAGAAAGCATTGAGTATTATGTATCACAATTCGATGAATACTGTAAACTTGTATGTACTGGACAGCTTTATCGTATTAGCTTGTTTGAATTTGATTGATTAAGTCTTTGAACTAAAAATGAAAATAATAAAATGAAAAGATCAGTTTTCTTATCTATTATATGGATTATTATGAATACTCAATAGAACAGATACGGCTTAGTCAAACGCAAAACACTGTCATATTAATTTTAAAAGGTCGTTTTATTTTGTGTTGAATAAATTTTGATAGGGATTGTTATAAGTAAGTGGGGTTTGTGGAGATCAGAGTATTGAAATTACTCATTCGTCTGAGCAGGATGAACAGATGAAACTCGAAAACACTTCACGTTCTTAAATACAACCTCATTGATGCAGATCATAGGTGCTTACACTAGAGAAATAGGGTCCTCGGTTCGATACTCACTTGTGACATCATGTATGTTCACTGTTAAGTAATTCAACTCACACCAGTACAAAGTAGACATTCAGTGCTTTCAAGTTCTCAATCACGATCTACTTGATATCATCGTGTCACGTGATTTATGATGATTTCACTTTTGACGAAATGATTACTTTGAATGTACAATGATAGTAAAGGAACTCGTATCTTTCTCGTTTAGATCTCATTCGATAATTTGAAGTTATCACAAGCAATGGTGTACCATTAACATGGAGTGTATATCTCATCATTATTATGATTTGCTCGTAACCCATCTCTACTTTTTAATTCATGTATAACAGGCTGGTTTCATTTTAATTTCAATAAATAAGAATTTGCATCGATCTAATAGTTCTCAATCCTTTTTGGAATATAGACTGAAAATATTGAAATGAAAGAATTTACCTGACGATCTTTATCACCTGACATCATAACGGCATAGTAACGATATGAACAACTTAGACAAAATATATATAGTATTGCAACTATACACCATGTATAAAAACAAGCTACAGCACTGGTAGTAGCAACACACCGTGAAACAACATCATAAGTATAATTATAATAAACTGTGAAGTTCCAAACAACGTGCAGTTTCATTTAAAACAGACAAAATAATCTTACGAAATATATTTCAGAAATCGGTAGCAACTAAACATTTACAAATGAATGCAAATCATTATTTTCGCTGTACATAGGAAAAGATAAAACTGAAGAAATTGTATCGACAATGTTGTCTGATGTGTTCATTATGTTCATGAATAACTTGTTAGGATGGAAAGTTGTGGATGTCAGCCCAATCTCATCCTTATTGTGTGTTTGTATGTCAAAAACACTGTATGAACAGAACAACGAATTACGATTCATTTCATGTAGGCAGTTCAAACTAACAATATTGTATTTGGACGTCAGATCTTTGAAAACTGTGAAGTGTATGGAGGTTACAAGCTGTATCACTCATCATGCAGACTTACAATCATATGATTGAGAACGCAATAATTTGCTTCAATGAAAAGGAAGCAGAACACTTAAATAACAAACACTGCTTGATGAGATTTCAGTAAGCCTTCATTTCGATGCGATTTGAATAGTATTCATATATACATGCAGTCATGGTGTAAAAGGCAAACAAGCCAACTCTATTTAAATAAGCGTGAATTGACATTTATAATGAAACTAAAATGAGCTTCAGCCATGTGATGAGTAGGATAAGCAATACTCAAAAAATACGCCTACATAAAATACAAACAAGTATGATAAGCCAATAATCAACGAGGTCAAAATGTGATAGAAGAAGAATAAATAAATTGGTTTGATTGCACGCCTAGTATAACCGATGTAATTTGAAAGGGTTCCAGATACTACAAGATGGGAAAATATTATGCACTGCGATGTACTAGTCCTGATACGTAACTGGATTGAACACTAGTTCATTAATATTGACCAGTGTTATAGACAAATATAATATACTCGGAAAGAGGTTTTTGTGTATATTATATTGAAAGTGGCTGGCTTCATTAGTCGAGCCCGAACGCCTTACTTCTAGACTACTGAGACGTTAAGCGTCCAGCGACGTTATTGTCTAACTTCAACCATTCCACAAAATAGTGATCGAGGATGCACACTGATGAGAAGTCCCATACTATCACGAAACAAGAATTTCACAATCTTATTAATAGTTCACAGACAGAAATCGCTCTATCATGGGGTAATTAGAGAGAGATTTATTTAAAAGAAATTAGAAGTGTTTCCGATTATCAATACTAGTTATATTTTAAGTCTATTGTAGAGTGTTATGAAGATTGAAGGGAATTCACTTATGCTTTAAACAGAAAAAACAACATATGCACGTACTTTTTAAATGCACATATTGGACTAGAGACGTTAAATATCCATTGCTTCTATGTGAATAGATTTCTGATGCACAATGTTTGTGATACGAATTATCTAACTTTGCTTGAAATGTTAACACAATTTTCTTTTATGACAACATAAAGAGGTCCAACTAAGTGTTCAAGTAAAATTATAATATCCGGTATTTATTCACCTTGGAGTAATCATGAACAGTGCTGCTTAGAAATGTGTTGTGAGAGTGTTTTTGTGGTGTAATCTGCTTTTGGGAAGGAATAAACACAAACTGAATTCTTCGTATATGACATTCTCTTGGTAATACAACCACAAGTTAGTTTTAACTGGAGGATGAAATGCGGTCCCTGCGATAAAAGTCGTTACCTGCATAAAAGTGTGTGTTTCAGTATCTCGATATTCACAACGAAATTCGTTTTCGAATGACGAATTCACCATCCAATGTGTTTTCGGAACGAGTTTGTTTCAAACAAATATCAGGTGAATTGATTTGTGGATGATAGTGTCGGAGTAATTTAATTTGAGGGAATGAATGTTTTATAGCTTCGATATTGTCATCAATAACAGATATTTTTATACAGTGGCGTGCGGTGGTAACGAATAAATGTCTTATCCACTAAGCCTGAATTTTGAAGTGAACATCATAATTATTATGTAAGTACTATCAGTTAACAAGTCTAAGATGTTACAAAATCTGCGAACTGTAATAAATTGCTATGTAGTATCTAACTCTATCTGAACACGATACCAATTGTATCATTCTGTTGCATACCTGGTGCCTAATAAGATTCAGTCATCATTTCGGTGTGGCATAATGTTTTATAAAATTTGTCAGTTAAAATATATCTTGAGGAACTCCCCACTTTTAATTTCACTGATGATGACGGAAGAAATTTTTTAGAGACATTACACTGCAACTGATTGTCATCTTCAGGGGAATGATAATGTTATAACATGTATTATTTCATCAACTATAATAATATATATATATATATATATATATATATATAATATATTCTAAAAATAATATTTACATAATGCACACCAGTTTACTGTCATGATCAGATTGATATAAAACGCAACATTTGATGTAGAGAACAGACATGAAATATAAAATTGTTTTATGTTTGCTGGATCAGTAATTGATAAATAGTTCATATATGGCACATATCACGGTAAGCCAATGGAAAAACAGGGAACTTGTCATTTTTTCTTAAGTGGATAGCCTGATGATTTATGAACGTATTTCTTCAAGATTATTTCCAGTG